ATAGGCATGCTCTCTGATTTGGAAAAGAGAGATCTTTTTAAAGCTATCAGCATTACTGATGATTCTTTATAGCAAGCAGAAGACGTTAATTATATTTATGTAATTATTGACTCATTAATACTTACAAGTTGCATGAGACTTTTTGATTATTGATAGCTGATGCAGTGACTATTGCCAAGTTTAGATTGTATTAGTGATTTTGAGTGCACAACCATAATACAACCAGAGATATTAATACCACTGAGCATAAATAACAGCACTTGACAGACTCAAGTGGGGGGAAAAGCACTAACACTGGTTACTCTAATGGACAGAATAAATGATAGAATCATATAATGAGTTTACAGCAGCCAGGTTTAGTGAAATCTATTTCTGAAGTAAGAAGGGGGGGGAAAGGTAGCAGTTTTGGTAACAGAATGAGGGTACAAACACATTAAAAATTAACAGGGTGTTTTCAGATAATTGAAAGAAAAAGCACCGACATGGGAAACTTAGCTGTTGTAACTCACACCGCTCTACAGTGGGCATTATCACTGTTTCCTGCCATGGATTTAATCTGCTATCACACCTACAAACGAAAGAAAGAAGTATGAGCTTCCCAAGACTTCCTACAATAACATGAGAGTGTTTTCTTTTTTTTTTTTTTTTAATAGGAGGAGGAAGAGAAATCCTCGGTCCAATATAAAAGAGGTTACTGTTGTGCAAGTGTCTTTTTTATTTACTATAATTTGGCAGACACAGCTCTGCAAGACTTCAGAACTAAGAAAAGTAGAAAACTTTGATGTTCCTTTGACATGAGCTGGTTGAGATGCATCTTCTTCGTAATTGTAGAGAAATATATTGTTGCAGCTGCCTGGTGTTAGCCGTGAACTATACTTCATTTTACAGTGTCAATTCCTTCCTTCTCCACTTCACTCCAGCATCTTCAGTACTTACCTTTGTCACACCAAGATTTACTTTAACTGGAACAATGTCAGGTGTGCCCAGAAAAATGACAAACTAAAATTAACCTATAATTGTAATATGAGCCTGGAGGCATGTGCTTGGTGGGAAAGAATTCACCTTTTACGGACACACACACGGAGAAATGTTAGAGGGATGTTTGAAATTCCAGACATCACAAATTCATTAATCAATGAGTAAATCAGTTAGCAACCAGTCATGCTCTTTTGCAATGTGACCTAATCCTTAGCTTGAACTTGCCATTGCCCAGCTGTATGTCATTTCCAGGTCCTAATGCAGCACTCACTGAAGATAACAGCAAAGCTCCTGAGAACCACAGCAGCTGCAGGTCCCCAAAACAGTCTTTTTCTTTCTACTTATTAACTATTTTATAAGTATATAAGTGAAAACTGTCAATATAAGAAGCGCCTAGCTATCGAAGTGAAGTTATAGGCATGTGTCCTTCAAGGTTAAAAAAAAAAGAGAGCTCCAGAAATCCTCGTAGTTTTCAAGTTCCCTTTTTTTCTACTCTTTACTTTAGTCACCTGCCTATAGGCTGGAAGTTAGTTGCTGGCTAGCCTGAGACAGGGATATTGTAGCCAGCAGTAGGACAGACAGCTAAAAATCTGTAACTCTGGTATATAAAGACACGCTATCCCCTCCCTGAGGCCTACCTAAGTTAAAACATAAAGTACAAGCACACACAAGTTAAAAATAATGAAACTTCTCCTCTCTCCAGGAGCTACTGAATTTGACTTCTGCAAACAGATATTTCCATGTAAATATTCTCCCAACCCTAACTTGAAACAACCCAATTCTGTCTGTCTCTGCTAGACCTGGTTTGTTAAAGCATTTTTTTTTAAGGTAAAAAAATTCTCATTGAAAAATGATTAATAGAGATAGTTTTAAAAAGAAATAAAAACAAAAAAAACCCAACATAAGCCCAAGCCAAAACAAAAAAACCCAGCACAGTTTGCAGTACTAATAGGGCAATAATTTACTGGTTTGTGTTCTGACCCATTCAACGGCAACTGATTTGGGGCTGGGGGGAGGGGATCAGGGTGATTAAAGGGTTAATATTCAAATGAGAAATTTGCAAGGCCTGCATAATGGAACTGCCACCCTGATAACAATAGGAATTTTTAACAATATCGAGCCTTGTTAGCAAGAGAGTTACAAGCATTGAGGGCAATCAGTGTGTCTTGTCAGTTTCTTTTTATCTACCATCTCCAACCGCCAAGGAACCGAAATGAAGCACTTTGGAATTATCAATTTCAGCCACATTTGCATAACAAAGCCCCCGAGGAAGAGGCATGATAAATGTGAAGGACCCCTCTTGGAAAAGGAACTGTCAACCGCGCCCCGAAAGATTCTCCGACCGAGCGCATTCTCAGGGATTGTAGTCAGCGAAAATAAAATGAAAGCATTAAAGAAAGTCATTCTCTCAGAGAGAAAAATCTCCCCCTCTGCACAGAGAGAACTGGATGAAATGACATTATGCATATGAAAATGTCCAGAAAGATGTTTGATTTATGTATGCATTAGATGCAAATTCCATTACCGCACGCGCGCTGTTGTGTGATTTGGCTCTGAACACATCACTGCCCTGATCAAATCTGATCTCATTAATTCCGACAAGGAGAGAGAGAGGGAATTGAGAAGAATTTATGGCCTGGACACTTGAAAGAAGTAAATTGTAATTCTGTTTAAAGCTGTAGCGAACCTTTTAAACACCTTTTATTATAGAAAAAAGCACTTACTTTTATAACACTGTTAGAACTTACTTAATCTTGTACTTGGAACTTCTAGTCCTCATTTAAAAAAATCTATGACCTTGTTTAGGGGGGAAAAAAGAGAGAGAGAGACAGAGAGACAGAGAGAGAGAGACAGGAAAAAATACGCCTGTCTTAGACTGAAATCCAGCAGAAGCATCATAATAATATGATCAAAGAAGACCTATTGACTGTCTGAATAATCATGTGAAAATTCTGCTCTGCCGGTATATGTTTATTTTTAAACAATCTTTTAATATCTTCAAATAAAATATCAAATACTTTACAAGTGTTTTTATGGGACTAGATAGACATTGCATACTTAAAAATGTTATTAATTGTGTTCTAGATAAAAATGGCAATAAACACATGTTTTATAACAATATTCTCAAGCAGTACAGTGGTGTCAGCTAAAACTGATGCGTGTTCCATTTTGAGATATAGGCAATTTAAAGACAAAAAAAACCCCAGATCTTTGCTAAAAAGGAAGTATATTACTGTAGGGGAAAAAAAATAAAAAAGCAAAAAAAAACAACAACAAAAAAAGAAAACACCACAAAAAACCAGATTGTTTCTTACATTAATAAAGATTCTTATCCTTGTTTTGCTCCTGAGAAAGACCTTAATAACTCATTTCCTCCCTTCATGAAAGATAATCACCCTTCATGGGTGAGATATCCTGTATTTACTTGATACCAAGTGTAAAACTGAAATAGTGTCTCAATATGTTATTGCATTGTATAATCAGTGTTCCTCCCCCAACATTCATGAACCCCTAGGGTGCTTCATAGCCCAGAATAGTTTCTTTTCTGTTATGCATCTTCCGTTTTAGTAAGATATGATGAACTACCTCCCCAGTAAAGAAGAGAGAGGAAGAGAGTGAAAAAAAACCAACCCCCCCTTTGATTCCTAAAATCTTAGTTGCCGATCATGATTCATTTATAGAGAAATGAAGTGATTTCTGCAAACAGTTTCCCCAATGAAGCCTGCAGTTTTCTTTGATAATCTGCTCCAGCTGAAGTAATTGTTAAGCAAATGTTACCCAGAGAGGCAGAGGAAACTTATAAGTTATTGTATCTATAAACACAAAACAATAACCTGTAGGCAAACCATGTGAATTTTAAGAACCATTCACATTTTCAGTGGTTAATATTGATTTCTTGCAATTTTTAAAAAATCCTTCCACATGCAGAAAGTATATGTTTACAATTTCCATTATTCAGAGAAAGATGTTATCTTTTGAAGGGTTATTTTAATATATTTGGCTACCAAATTCAATCATTAGTTTAGAAAAAAGGGCACATAGTTCTGATTTACGTGGAAATTTCAATGGAGTCCTAAGTATGCATTCAAAAACCACTTTACAGAAACATGCAGACATTACAATATATAAATGAGTACAGATATGTCCTGTCATTTTATTATTTTGTCATTGGTATGTACACATTTCTGTAAAAGTATTTGAATGTGTATACCTATGCATGAAAAATAGCAGAGAGATATATTTTGTGAGTTTATAATAGAGTGGGTATTTGTTAAGGTGAATATAACAGAATGCTGCTTTTTGACTGTACTAAATCGAGTACACTGAAACACGCAGTGGGTATTGTGCTGAGCATATGAAACAACTTAGCAATTTGGATATCTAAAATATAATTATGTATGGTACAATATTTGTCAGATTGAAAGTGTTAAAGAAATATTTTTTGTTCTAAATAAATATTTTTCCATTATTAACTGGAGTGTGGATTACTTTATGTTATGTCTAAGGGAAAAAAAAATCACCCAGAATTTTCCTTGCATGTAGACTTTAAGAAAATTAGCACAGTGTGAGAGAAACTGTAATTGCAAAATTTGGTTTGGTGTTTTACATAAGGTTATCTCTCCCTTCCTGCATAGCCTTTAGCATATCACTGAATGTATTTTATTAAAATATTCTAGCCACCTGTCTGTTTGAGCCTGTACAGTTATCACCCAAAAATAAAAGCAAATTTGTACTTCACAACGCGGGGATCCAGAAATAAGTTTCCATTACTGGTGGCTAATTAAGCAAAGGGGGCTTGCTGTCCCTTTAAAAAAAAAAAAAAAAAAAAAAAAGCCCAAGCCAAAACACAACAACAAAAGAAACCACATCCTTTTTGCCACCCTAAGCCCTCCTCCTGTCTCCCCCCCAGTACAGACACAGACACACAGACTTCCCCTCAGTGAGTGGTTCAGGCTCCCTGATTAAGGTCATGCCGTTTGTTCATTACTGGCCTGGCTAATGTGATTGAATTGGAACAATACCTTTGAACTCCTTGGCTCTGATCTGCATACTAATTGACTCTCTTGTCCTTGGCAGTGACCTTGACAGGCTTTCCACCACTCTCAGAATGGCTGACCAGTTTCTCATCAAAAGTTCCTAGTAAAAAAAGCCCCAAACCCAAAACAAGAATTAGTCATTTACACTACTTTTCTCTGTATTCATATTTCCTTATATACCATTAGAAAAAGCAAAATTGTTACTCCCTAGCTCCCCCTGGATGTTTATTAATACTTGAAAATCACAGTGTCACTTTAAAGTACTGAAACAGTGACAGCATTGTTTTGAAAGAGTTCATTGTTGCAGTCTAAAACACTTTTTGCACATATTTTCAGGTGGCTTTTGTCCTTGTTACATAAAAGTTTTGCAGTTTAATTCATGGACCTTTACATCATTGTAATTTTTATTTTTCAAATAAAAAAAAAAATAATACTGGTTGTATCCTAAGAAAACAGCACAAATTAGTTTCCTTTTTACAATTTACATTAGCACTCTAACAGCCTGGGTTTCAACAGGTTCTATAGTAATAGAAATACTATGGTTTCAAACACAACAAAACCAAGCCATGCAGAACACTGCATCTAGAAAATGCCAGGTTTAAGGTAATGAGCTAAGGATTCTATTTTTATATCTCTGAAGCTCTTAGACCAACATATTAGTCAAGAGAGGCATGATTTCTATACCGAAGACATTATTAAACACTATACCAATATTTATGAAAAAGACTTCAATTTCTGACTGGAAAGGAGAGGTTTACTTCATTTTTACTGGAGTGAAGATTTACATTGAGAGACAAGTGTGAGCCTCGGTGAACTTTTATTATTAAATTAATGAAGTAATAACTGAATCAAAGTAAAATTAAGTATCATCAAGAAAAGGAGATGGACAGCATGCCGAGAAACGTACTTTTATCAGGCTGTCAGCAAAGATCCACTTTAGAAAAAGGACTATTTTTTTCTTTAATATTCAGTCTTACTTTAGGCAAAATCTATTGCAGGAAAAACAGCTGGAATTTTAAACTCATTTAGTAACACTTTGCACTTCTCTAGCGGCTCTTTACTAGGTTCTCAAAGGGCTTTAGAAACCTGAAGGAATGAATATGTATTATAACCAGGTGAAGTATTATTATGGAACATTAATGATGACCTGCAAATCTATAAATAGTAAATCAAACTACAAAATTTCTAACACACATTCTTTAATGCAATTCCCATTTTTATTCTGCTGTGGTAACCAGACCAGCTGTTTTGAAAAAAAGTCTCAGAACAGAGGTATTCTCTATTAAGAAAATTATTTTTAGTTTTTAAGGCAATAATATCCAAGCATTTGGCCAATGTCCAAGTACTTATGCAGGGCAGGCCTCACAAATTTGGCATCCAGTTCAAAACCATTATAGAAATAAGTCATAAAATTCAGATCTTAATCCAAACTTTCCTAAAAATTTCAGGACGGCGTGGATCCAAAAATTCCAATATGAATTCCAACATTTTAGTAGAAAGGAACATGTGGGGCTCCATTTCATCTCTATGACCACTTCTGTTCAAGACCAAGTGCTGGAACAGGCTTCATCACACTTGAGCCTGCACATACCTCTTGTCGGTGATGCCCTTGCTCTGCTGGGTAAAAGTCCCAGGCTTGCTTAGGACACTAGAAAGCTGCTGGTGCAAAGGGGAAAGCCAGAGAAGCAAGGTACAGACTTCAACATGTGGAGACCCGCAGCAGCAATGGCCAGGTAAGCCCTGCAAGCAGGACACCTCCAGAGCATCATGGCTGAGAAGAGGCACACGTCTGTGAACAAATGAATGCTCCACAGAGCCACACAAGTAACACAGGAATGAAGAACACAACTTTAAAGCTATTTTGGTGCCTAAAACAAATACAGATGGTTATAGGAGTTTTCAAAAGCATTTGGGCCAAATTTGCATTGATTTCCCTTCATTCTGGGGCTCTAGAAGCAGCAGTTAAACAGGTGAAGTTAGTGTTTACATAAATTGCTAATCAATTTTTCTCACCAAAAATAGCACAGCATATATAAAAATGTAACATTTCTGGTATTCTGAGACCTTCCAAAAGCATACTGAAATGCATGCAGTATTTTGCAAACCACTGAAAAGCAGCTACCTCTGTAATAAAATATAGCAGGTGTCCCTGCAACACGAGAGCATACAGAGGAGTTTTAGAGTATTTGTACATAAAACTGAAAAAGGAAACATTAAGTAGATATAATGCACTCTATGAAACAAGGCTCTGCTCTTTCATACATATGGTTTTTTCATCACAAACTGTCCATCCTTGGTTTTAGGACTCAAACAAAAACTGGTATGCCCATCACTGTCACCACTTAATTTTATTTAAGCAGTGAGCACCACCTACTGCAGGGGAAGATTGCAACCTATTTAGTCAGTACATCAATCACTTCCTATAATAATTTGTTTTTCTAAAGCTGTTACAGCTGAAGTTCTGACCAGAACTATGTATAGCTTTCATGTGAGATTGGAGCTGATCGCTGCTCAAAATGGAGCATTTGTGAGCTATCAGTAACACGTATAGGCCTTAGATATTAACCAGCCGAAGGAAAATGAAAAAGATTAATCAATTAACCTCATATAGAAAACCAGAACTCAAACAAAGGCAGCTGCTGGGAGAAATTAGTTTATCCTACCTTCTTTACTTGATCTGTGAGTAGCATGTTAGAGAAATCATTCACTGACTGGGGTAAGACCTGTTCCACTCCTTAAAATAATAAATAAATAAGTTTTAGCACTGAGTTTGATACATTTCTGTACGACAGCTAGACTTGATTCAGGAAAAGGGAAGTAAGGGCACAGAAAATCTCACCCCTTTCCCAACTCAGAAGACTGGCAGGGGGTTCTGACACCACTTACACGGTGCTCAGGCATCGTCTTCCCACTGTAGATGAAACCCCCTCACCTGCTCACCTCTTATCTGCTCCCTTGCAGCTGCCACTGCTTGCTCACCTAGTTGCTCCCTAACCTGATTCAATAAAAACTCTTTCCTTAACCTGCATCAATTTGACTGGTTTGGACTAGAAAGCCGTTTTGTGAATCACGCCAGTAGACCCGAGGAGGCAATAACTTTCAGCAGGAGCCTGTGTGTGAGCTGAGGGGATGCTGAAGCCGGGAGAAATCAGGGTACCATCTGCAGCCAGAACAGGCTGTCTGCCTGTAGAGCTGAGCTGCTGCCAAGCTATGCTAAGTTACACTGGTCATATAGGTTCCTCAGCAGCTTCTGTCTGTGATGGAAAGGTAGAGAAAATCCAAGCTCTGTAAGACCCCGTCCTGCCGTCACAGTCAGGATAAAGGCAAAGATTCTCAGCAAACATACTTCCAAGAATGAGGCAAATAAGATGCTCAGTGAAATGTCCTTCTGGGCATTTACAGTAAGATTGCACATGCCTGTGCAGTGCAAAGAAGCTGCAATGCATAAGACAATTGATACGCCAGAGGACCATTAAAAGAAAAATATCAATACAACCTAAACACCTGCAAAGCCATATAGACTCACACTCTCAGCACTTACTGCTTTTCACTTGCAGCTGACATGCTGTTAGCAAAGTAAGGCAGAGAAAACCACACCCCTCCCAACTCCATGGTAATGACCATGATCTTGATTTATTTCAAAACATTTAGCAATAGAGAGAGAGATCTACAGATTATAAAAAAATAATCCAAAATGTTCTGTGTGCCTTTCTGCCTAAGAAAAGTACAAGAAAACAAACACGTGGCAGCTGTGGAAATGCACAGAACAAGACACACAGCGAATGTGGTGATGAACAAGGTGTAGTGACTCAAAAGAAGAGAACAGAATACAAGTGAAAAGTATTAATTATTGATAAGATAAGGGACAGATAATTACCACACTTCATACATGCCTACCTGCTATAAGGACAGAGAAGACGTTTCCTAGCTGTCTAATAAGTAGAGTGGTGGGTTGCAGTTTGCTCTTTTGGCTCCGTAGGCAGGTTCTCTTCTTCCTTGCCGGCTGGCACTGTCAGGCACATGCTACATTATTCCAGGTTACTGCTAGGAGTCTATTGAAATCACTTAAATAATAATAATAATGAGGATAATTATTACAGTCAGATCTGATCAGAATACTGGTTACAACAAAGTTCCAGGACTAAAATGCATCCCCCAGTTCGGTCATTTACTAGAAGGAAGATAGATAAACATATGAAAAGAGTGTTTTATTTATTTCAGATAAAAACCACAGCGAGACATTTATAGTCAGCAGCAAACTTTAAGCTGTGTCCTTTTGAAACCAATGAGAGAGTAAATACCTAGCATTATACACGTGAATATTCACATGCAGAACTTAGGACATATATTATCTGTATCATGCAGAATGGGTAAAAAAGCTGAAGTAAATTCTGAACATTTACCTGCTGAACAGAGAGCTGAGGCAGGTTTCAGGATTGCTTTTGCTCTTTATGTGTTTTATTCTATCACTTACTGTACTGCATGTGTTCAGTCTTATGCTGTAATTTCATATTTAAGAGGGTACAGAACTTATATTTCTCACCATTTTATTTCAATCACCATCTCTTAATGACTACTTCTTTGTTAATTGAATAAAGACTTCTATATTTACCATTTAATCTAAAAGATTAACATAAAAACATGTGACAACAATATAACAACAGCAAAGCTGAACCTCAAGGCACAAACTGTATGCTGTTAGTTATCCATGACACACTGTAATGAGAACATTCATAACAAAATCCTTCTTAGTGGTAATGCACCTGTCTTCAGGCTTGCAACATATTTGTTGTATCAGAGCAATCTTGCTAAACGTCAAGCTGGTTTGCGTTCCTTTTTGTTTAAAACTGGTGTTAAGTTGGTAGGTTGATGGAGAAAGCATCGACATAGATTTCTGCACTCTTTTTTTTCTGCTGTGGTAGGAGATGAGCTGTCAATTGGGAGTAGCCAAGAGATTCTGGATCTCTGATGATAGTCCTCCAACATGCCACAACCTCTAGTCAGATCTGAATCTGTTGGTGTCCACACTCATGAGAAATGCCACATTCTTGCCTGAGAAACCAGTGAGCCACTCTGCTACCTGACAGGCACCTGGCTGCCAA